AAATTATACCCATCTATTAACCCATTATATTTTTATGTAAATTTAAATAAGTAAAAATACATTATCCTGTAAAACTCCTTTGCTTAGGTAAAAAATTTTAATTTCACTTATCATTAATATTGTATAAATCACATTGATCCATTTCTGCCTTTTGTTTAATTTATAATATATATTATTAAAAATTAATGCATAAATCTCCTATTGGTCTCAATTATGGCTTTCAAATCAATTTTAGTGGCCATTGAAATTATTAAAAATAATAATATATATTTTTGATAAAACAATAAGGCTTAAAAATATAACAATAGAAAATCTCAAACCTTAATTTTCTTTTGGTGTTGAATTTTAAATAAACTTGGCAAACAAGGTTTATTTGGTGGGTTTCGATTGAGTCATTTGAAATTTCAAACTTATCGGGTTGGGTTCTTTTGAATTTTGAGTTAAAAGGAAATAAACTTATGACTAATCCACGTGAATCTCGAATTAGATCAGGTGTATTCAACTCTTTCAAAAATTAAAATTAAATTTTTTTAATATTTTATTTATTTTTCTTCAAAAAATTAATCTTAATTAATTTATATAGTTAAAAAATCTATCAAATTAATATTAACTATAATAATTTTATAAATAATGACTATTTTATAGTATTTAATTTTATTTTATATTTAAAATTAAAAATATAATTAATTAAAATTTTAATTTTAAAAAAATTAATTAATTTTACTTAAGTCATTTTATATCGATATCTTGACCCAATTTAGTTAAGTTTGAGCAATTTTAATTTGAATTATATCAGATTTTAAATTAATATTCTAAATCCATAACCCTATTAGTAGCGAGTGAATTGGATTTAATCTTTGAATTGGTCTCAATTTCGCCAATTCTAATTCTAAGTTGTCGTTATTTGTTGGCTAAAATTTTTAACGTCTAACTTTAAATCAGGGTTTAGAGAGTTTAAGAAAATTTTACTAAACATGAAATAGCACCGTTTGAAAAAATAAAACTTCCAAAGTTGAAAATTGTTTAGGGTTGGTGTGGTGTCTACACCATTAGTCAGTACCAATACTTTTACTTAGAGTTTTATCAGACATGAAGTCTCTGTCCTTAACGT